GGTTCGTTCATAATTTTAAATTCGACTAGTAGCAATACGTTTACCCTTATCGCCCGTATATAAGGTTGTGATCATGTTGATAAGGTTAGATCTGCGCGATTAACAACATCAAGCCAGCTGTGTTGACATTCATACCTTTCTTAGGTGTGCCCTTAAGGTACCCCTCAAGGGAACGACTCTTCTACTTTTTAAACCCCATTGGTAAATTCATCTAAATGAATCATGTAGTCGAGCTTTACTCGTGTCCCATTCCTACAGGGACCGTTCTTTCTTTTATAACTTCTCTCTATTGATATGCAATACGAACTAGGATTTATCACAAATCTTGTGGAGTAATTTATCTAACTGAACGTTTTTAACTACGTAAATAAGATACAACTGCAATCACAATGACCACTTATCTATATGGCGTTTAAGTACCCGAAATTCTCTTGGATGCTTCCAGCTACATATATTTCATAGATCAAAATAGAACGAAAAACAAATCGTCATCGTTTACGTATCGTATGGTATAAAACCGCAAATGCTGTATAATGTTTGGCAGTAAGATGCGTCATGAGAAGCTCATTTGTCTACAGCTTAAATTAAAACAAGCCAATATTATAGTTAGGAATTATATACACTACAGAATGCGTGGTCTGTTAGCTAGAGCCTGACATGAACCAGGATACTCTTGAGTATCCGGGTTCAGTTCTATGCTTAAAAAGTAGATTTTGGTAGTAGAGCGTTAGGGGACAAGTTATTCGGGTAACTCTGGACAGTATTCGTACGTGGCTTGGCTGTCTAGCTAATGTTGTTACATTCTCGTTTTAATAACTTATACCTACTAAGATTTCGGCTTGCGGATTGCGGAGGCGCCTCTTTCTCTCAATCTTCAATTGCAAGCAGATGCGTAAAATTTCAATATCTTGTCCTGACCCCATATAATGCAAGTTTAACTTTGCTATCTTCAAAATTAGCGGGAACTGTTCTTAACGTTTCGCATATTGTCGAAGCTATAAGGATCATTTGGTTGGCTCTAAAGATGCCTGACGCTGCTGCATCAGCAACTTTTAGAATTAAGTGGTTTTTTGTTGGATAAAAATTTGCTTCAAGCAAAAATCTCAGTAGCTCCTGATCGTGTTTGAAGTTATTTTAGAGTAGTCGTGGATTTTGCTATTAGCAACCTTATACTAAGAGGAGTGTCTACCAAAGCCTTTTGGAAAGGCTGGCGAGGTACAACTTTCTTCTCTTGTCAACTTACTGCCAGCCAGCCAGTCAGCCAGCCAGCCCGCTCAGCTTACCTATCTCTGTGGTCAGATGCCGCTGTGGTCTAACACAGTATGTGGTAACCTCAGCTTGTGAATGTGTGTTCGTGTTTATCTGGCTAGTTATCTCTGCTGCTTTCGAAAGGAGCCAGACTAAACGCCTGTTGTTGTTTATAACGTCGTCCGTGTGCTGAACATGCCTTTTACGGTTTTGCTCTTGCTCTTCTCCTTTCTCATACAAACACTTGTATATACACCGATATTCGATGATATGGTTCATTATAGCGACGGTATTAGAGGCAGCTTTGTGCGAGAAATCGCCATGATGGCTTGGCGTCGGCGCCAGCAGCAGTTCGTGGCAGTAGAGTTCGTGTTGGACGGCACAAGTATCTACTACGGTGACATTGACAGTTTGAGGTAGCGTTTCATCTTTACTAACTGGCTATCTAACGGGGACAGACTGTCGGTACAACTGACCACGGCTTCTTGTTGGACATCAACCAAGACCCGTGAAAGGCACGAGTATGTACGGATGAGGCAATCATCGCTATCAGCGTTACAGAACGACCGTCGGCGCCATTGACTGCAGGCAACTTGAATAGGCGGGGGCGCCATTACACGATTTTGCCCAAAGGCAGGGTGGTGACAACCAGCCTCGACGGCCATTGAACGGATCATTATCCAGAGGAGTGGGTGAGCGTGGGGACGGTGAATACGGTAGCGACAACGATTTCCTTCTCAAGGAATCTTTTCAACTTGGCAATAGATACGCTCGAAACGGTTAAAAACGGTCGCGCGAAGCAAAGCCAAAAAAATCTTCATCACTTATTGAATTTCTTTAGTTGTCTCCTATATTTCTAGAGTTCGCTGATTTCAATGGCACAATTATATGAAATGATCGTAGTTGAATTAACCTGTTTCTTTCAATTCTATTGACTTCAAAGTAAAGTTTGCGTTAACAAATTCGCGCATCGGAGAAGACAGACAACAGTGACGTTTGACGACGTGCGATGGTATAGTCGCGCGAGCTATAATCGGTGGCTTCGTGCAGAATATTGCGGATATTTTCCCTGTTTCTTTTTAACAACTCTTTCTTGTAACTGAGCAAAGGTACAACAAACTGAACAAAGGCTTGTGTTCGGCGCAAAATTTGACCGGGTATTATAGAGTAAAGTGAGTGGCAATCTAACGAAACCGAATATAGACAGGTACCTTTTATACGCATATTTCGCTAGCTAAGTTAGTATAGATCTTCTTACTGTGTCTCAATGACCACCAATTACTTGAATAAAGTAGTGTAGGTGTTGATTTGTGACGAGCCGTGTTGGCTGAACCTTAGGACCGTTACAGTAAGCTTTCGTTTAACGTAACGGCTAATTTGCATAGGAGCTAGCCAATGTACAGATGCGCAGTGTCTTAATGATGTATGTGCTTTCTCTGTGGCCAAGTATTTCTATGCATAATATAACTTGTTTGGGGTAAATAAGACACATACATACGAAGTAACTACAAGCCAGTTCCGATAATTGTCCAAAGTATCAGTAACTCAGATCGTGACGGCACAGTTTTTTACGTGACAGAAGAATTTCATATCTTTGATCATGATTCAAAAGTTATCAGGATCTTTCAAAGAAAGCGCACGCCAAGTGAATTGAAAAAAAACAGTGAGATTACCAGGCTCAGGCTTACTTTTTACAGGCACTTTTTTTTTGTTAATACGAATCGTTTGTAATGGGAAGAGGAAGAGCAAGTTCTAGAGCATCATGGGCTGAAAACTTAAATTAGAGTGCTTCGAAAATTCAGAATCATCATCATCATCATCATCGTAGACACTCTGCTTTAAAAGCATATTTGTATAGAAATATTTAATTTTTCTTTCCCCTTCCTCGTAGTGAATAGCTATTTGAAAGCTACGCGATAGCAGTATTTGGTTATATAACAGAAGACAACTTCGCTTCGAAAATACCCGCATTTGATCGATGCCCAAAAATTGTTGTTTACCTTGCTTCTTACTATTTACTGACTAACCTGGCTATTTTGAAATAACATATGCATTAAATTTTCCTAAGTAGAGATTACATCGGATATTTAAGTTGGCTTATTCACTATGTATCGTAGGTCCTTGCTTGTTTAGTACCTGGCACTACTCGTTCCAGGGCTTACTTCGGCATATGACATTTGGATAAACGTTTTAAGTGTTTGTTACTCGCGTTAAGGTGCGCTGTTTCAAACAGCCGGTGGCCCTATCGAAACGAACCGTGCCCGTATGCGCGGGAATATATCAAGCTTTTGTGTAAGCTCTCGAGGGAAAAGGGATCAGTTGATGTCACCTCCCACAAGTGCTTGCTGATCAGGAATCTTGTAGAGGGAATGTCCGCGGAGGCGGCCTCTAGGGCCATCGAAGGTACTGGGGGGTAAACGGGGATTGCTTCATTGTCAATGAACCGTGTGTTTGGCCCCAAAGTTCACCCCAGTTGACACCGTGTTCCCAAGTTCAGCAGGTAAATAGGTTACCGCTGCTCTCACGGGGCCAGGTGTATAGTGTTTACAATTAGCTGACCAGATTCGAAGTAACAACTTGGGTTTTATAATTATGTATGTAGTATGACGACAAGTTAGTTGTTAGTGTTAATTATCTAGTAATAACCTTAATACCATGATGCTCTATTTTACAAACTTTGAATCGCTATTGCCTGAACGTACAACTGATATTTTCATAAAGCAATTTTATACTCATTAACTCATTTAACACTCATTAAATAAGCCATCCTAAATCATCAAAATAAGGCATCAAATGAAATCTATGAATTATATATAGGGAAAAATGGAGTGTAAATACTGACACATTTTAACGGTGCGCACCGTTCCCAAAGGCCAAGTTGACCGGGGCCGGAACTTTGCGTGGCTGTCGTCATTTTGGTATAAATACAGCAAATTTTGATCTATGACCATGATTGTCCGCGTTTTAACCTAAGAGCACACTATGGCAATAAGGTCGACAACATTTTTTTTAAAGGCAACAGCACGTGCCATTTTGTTAACGACAACAACGACACGAGGTGCAACGAGCGCAAAAGTTTAGTCTAAAATGTTATGCACATTAGCATAGCATGATAGGCACGTGTAGGGGTTTCTATTAAACTGCATTGAACGCTGAGGCTACCTTGTTCTTCATTTTCTTTGTAAAATTAGGATCAGGCCGCATCCGGTTCCATAATCTCGAAACGCAACGGCCCATATAATTGCACCTCACCTTGGACTACATAAATTCCAGGGTGATAAAATACAATGAAATAATAACGTAACCTTCGAAATTCTACCTTAGAAATATCGCTTTGGCAAAATTTGGTCACCGAAAAAACCCGAATTGCGCTAAATCAAACGCACCCGTGCGCATTTAAAAAATTGAAAGTTTGATATTTTAAGATCAAAATGAATGAATGAATGAATAATCATTAAAAAAATAAATAACGTTGCCTTTCCAGATATTTATATAGCGCCAACTTCCTTTATATACATTCTCTCTATTTTTATATACATTTTCGTCGCAGCTTTAATAGAAAGGTGCTATAGTCTGATGCTTTTAGTATTCCTGTCTAACCCGTTTCTTACTACTTGGCGCGTACTGATGCCATTGTGTGTGAAAGATTCATTTTTTAAAGTAATATTTGTAACCTTATATTTTATATATATGCCGTTTCTAACGAGTAATCGTGCGTACCCTTCATTATTCTTTTGATTCTTTTGTTCAAGGGAAAACAGAAGTCAGCGCCTTTTTTGAACTTTCTGAAGATGGGTGTCAACGCCGGACGAGGTGCAGGTAAGTTAGAACAGAGTTTGGCTATTACGAAAGATACGTAACACGCAAGTGACATAACTATATCCTAATAGTCCTAAATCAAATTTTTCAGAGTTGTGTGGCTTTTAACTCTACGGACCTATTTGACTACTCTCTATATAATATGTATGTATATAT